CATAACTCCAGAAGGATAAGTCAAGGGCACGAATTCTTTTAAACTTTTACTACTCTCACCGAATTCTAACTATGAACAAATTAATAGCCCAATTGGAATCGGACTGTTGAAAACCTTCTATTGTAAGGTAGAGAACCTATTGGTGAAAACTAAAAAAGGTGTAATGATGACGCATTTAAATGGTGTAACACTTTATATGTAGGACAGAACCATTCTTAATAAAAAATCAGAAATGGTTTCGTTAATTCACTACCGAACCTCTTTTCAGGCAGAACCATTTTGGGGGTTCTGCCTTTTACCCGATAGCAGAACCCACAAAAGGGTTCTGCAACACTCCAATTTCTTTTCAGAGTATGGTCTCTATTATCTTTCTTCGAAGATCTCTACATCTTTAAATGTGATAACAGCAGGCCATATCATACTACTTTTCTCATTTTGTATGCGTCAATCTTCATCTACGAGAATGAGAGTGTGGCTTTGTCTTCTCATCGTTCTTGTTCTATCAATGACACGTAGTGTAAATGCAAACTACGCCAAATCATACGCAAATCCTCAGCTGTGGCGTTTGAATATCACTAATAACGAACAAGTTGCTAAAGTACTTGCTTTCAGGCGTATAGCCCACCTACATGATATTGACTTTTGGTCAAAACACTTTTGCATCCATAAACCAGTAAATTATTATTCAAACGTATCTTCCTTCATTATAAGTGATGACCTTTTTTTCTCAAATAGATCGATATTCGTGTACCACCTCAAGCAATTGATAGTTTCGCTGATTTCTTGAGATCGGATGGTGTGAAAATCGAATATAAAGTTCATATGACTGATATTGGTGCAATAATTGAAAGGCAACGAATTCTACAAAATTTACCTCGATCATCATCGAATGCGAATGATTTTGCCTACGATAAGTATCACACTATTGAAGAGATTCATGCTTGGGTTGATCAAATGGTTGCAACGTATCCAGAAATGGTCACACCATTTACCGTCGGGAAATCATATGAAAATAGAGACATGAAAGGCTTCCAAATTTCATCAAAGAAAATGGCAACTAAGCGTGACGGCACCAAAGTCACCTCAAAAAGGGCTGTTTGGTGGGATGGAGGTTTGTTGTTCTTTATTGTTATAAATCATGTTTATTTTCGACTGCATCCATATGTAGGAATTCATTCTCGAGAGTGGATTAGTCCAGCAACGGTCATCTACATTGCCTATTCTCTTCTGTCAAAGTATGGTCAAGATTCGACCATTACACATCTAGTTGATCAATTTGATTATTATATTTTGCCTGTATTCAATGTTGATGGCTATGCATATACATGGACAAAAGGTGATAGTTAACATCAAAGAAGAATATTCCTATTCAATTTTCCTTTTTTTTCCAAGATCGATTATGGCGAAAGACTCGTAGCAAAACGACGGTTGCAAACTGTTCTGGTGCTGATCCGAACCGTAACTGGGATTATGATTTTTGTAAAAGTGAGTTTTTCGTTTGCTCATTGTGGTGTCTTCGTTGTCACATAATCAATTCTAGACGGTTCTTCCCATGATCCTTGTGATGATACTTTCTGTGGTGAAAAAGCATTTTCTGAAATTGAAACAGCTCAAATAGCAAAATTCATCACTGGTCAACGAGGCGCAATTGTGAACTATATTAATTTTCATTCGTACTCACAATTGTGGATGTCACCATGGTGTAAGCTTTGAATATTAAGTTCGATCTCATCTTTCAACATTTCTCTCTAGCTTATTCAACCACAAGACCGCCACAATTCGAGTTACAAGATGATGGATCTATCCAAGCTGTCGATGCACTCACTTCTGTGCATGGTTAGTATACTGTGAAATACTCATTGTGTCAAAATCATTTTTGTGTAATATTAAAGGCACTAAGTATCAGCATGGCAGTGTTGCTCAACTTATTTCTCCTACATCGGGTAGTACAATTGATTGGACCTATGGCATAGCTAATGTGACATTTAGCTATGGTGTCGAACTTCGTGATACTGGTAAGTGTAATTATTTCCTTTTAACAAACTGCTGTGGAATCCTTGTTGAATAGGTGAATATGGATTTTTGCTTCCCGAAAACCAAATCATTCCAAGTGGTGAAGAAACATTGGCTGGCCTCAAAGCCTTACTTCAATACATCGAAAACCACGTCTACACTTCCCATGCAGTCAAAAATGTGAAATTGACGAGTTTCAACATCTTGCTTTTTTTCTTTCTATTAACGCGCTTTGCATAGTTTAGAATGTCCAAAATTGAGCATTTTAACGGTCGCCACTTTCTTACACTTTAAACCCGTTACAGTGATTTTAAAATAAACTTTTTTTCGAACATATCCGCCTGTGTACATTCCATTTATTGAAAAAGCATTTTAATGTGTTCTGTATGCGATCAGTTTACCGTGTTGACTGATTCAACGTATCAAAACACGAGATTTCGGATATTTTTAAATGTGTGGTCACCGCATTCCAAAGGAATGTTGTGAAGTATTTTAATGCAAATAATATCGCAGTTAACAATGCTGCTAACTTAATTCAATTGTAATAGAAACAAACTATCTTATCTTTTGGTTTATCTACAGTGTTGCTACTGGAAACAATGAAATGAAAAGTAAATAAATGTACATCATTATAATCGAAAGATTCAAAATTCAGAATCAAAGAAAAAAATATCTTTGAAGTTTTTTTTGTCTTAAAAGTGTGCTGAAATACTTCTTTTTTTATCTATTTTGCTAGTTCACAAATCTAAATATGTACTGGTTAATTTTCTCATATATAATGTCCACATAGATTGTACTAACATACTTTTTCTTCTCACACGATACTAGTGAAAATTCGTTCTTATATTCAGAAGAGAAAACAGTCGAAACATTATAGAAAAAACTGGTTTATTTATGAGTTTGTAAGGATACGTTGTACTAGACCAACTGATGCAGATGATGGCGCACCAAAATCATCAAATATTGTAATTAAATTATTTTTCGATTTAAGCCAATTAGATGGAATATGATAATAACGTTGAGTTGGTTTTAAACAATTGGTTTGAGCATGTTGACAAGCACAAGGTGAGTTATTTTGACAAATACTTTGAATTAGCCAATAAAGTCTAAGATCATTTCCATTAATAAATGCGTGACCACGATTAAGACCTTGAGCATCAAGTAAAATTGGATTAGCATTGGCATCTTCTCGTATACGATGATCCAAATCAAATCGTGCTTGAAACCATGATATTGGTTTATTAATACCTTTTATCCATTGAGTATCCCAAGTAACTTTCGATGAACCTTGTTCAGTATAAATTTGAAGATATTCACCAAATAAACCTTTTTGATGGTTACAAAAATTTGTTTCTGTTTGATTATCTAATAATTCTCCATCAAGCCATATGTTACTATCAATACCTTTCTGGTCAAAAGAATTTTCATATACACCACTAAAAAGTTCAAATGAAATCGAAAGAATTTCAAATAAATATTGTTGATTTTTATTGAAATGTGAAAGATCCACTGTTATAAAGCCTTCTGCACTAGAGCTGTAACCAGCAACGGTAACCTGCCGGTCCGGTTCGGTTCGGTAGAGAATTCTTGACCGACCGGTAGAAACAACTTTTTCTTTACAAGCCCGGTCTAGATTTTTTTTTGAATTTTTCCCTATTTTTTTCCGAAAAAATGATTGAAAAGGTGGTTTTTTTCGAAAATCAGAAACTTTTTACTAATGTCGAAGACCATTTTGGTAAGAAAATTTGCATCAAACTATCCTATTAAGTCCAAATTTGTGATGAAGTGTTTTTTATATTTGCTCAATCCACATGGGTATGACGTTCTGTTGTTCAAACAAAATCGAATAATTGTTTAGCATGTTAGTTTATCACAGATTTATTTGTATTTTCTATTATTTAATGCATATGTTCCTCGCAGCCGTGAAAGATGACAAAGCGAGTATAACATGGAACTTAGAGTAAGTATACAAGTAATAAATAAAGGGTGGTCACAAAGTTTCGACCCTTCCTTTGTAAATCAAGAATATCTATATTAAACTCATATGAAGATATTGATCAAATTATGCCATTTTGTAGAGAAAGAGAAGAGCTATCATCTGAAAAAAATAGTTTGAAATACATATATTTCTTATAAAGTTATAGTCATTTTATTAATGTCGAATGAAAATTTTTACGTTGCGTTTTTTGCAAAAACAAAAATACTCCTGTAACACCTGAGCTGGAATAGTTTTCTGGATTTTTTTATATGGTTGAATAGAGTTCGTCAGGCTCTACAAGAATATGAATATCAACAATTTGATTGATCCTGTTTCTGATATAAAACTTGGAGACAAGTAGAAAGACTAGTAAAAATCTTATATATCATGTGTTAAAGAAAGCGAGCTTAATTTCTAATAACTTTAGTCAATCGATTAGTTAGTCTGTTCCTGAAGCTTGGAAAGGGTATTTTCATCTATAGTACGTGACAAAGCATCTCAAAACATAAAATAATAGACAGAACAGTCGATCTACCAAACTTATTGAAAGTTACATATACTCTGCAATATATGATTTGCCAGATTTTTATTAGTCTGTCGGATTGCTTTCAGGTTTTGTATTCAAAAGAGGATCAAAGTTTTTTTTTTGAATGTCCATATTTTGGTAGAGCTTGTCGAACTCTATCTAATCATATAAAAATATCTATTAAAGATATGTAAAGATCCATATTTCAATCGACTTTGATTATTCAAATATTGCAAGAATATTTTTGTGTTTTGCAAAAAAATGCAAAGTAAAAATTTTGTACTCGAAATTACTAAAAGGACCATAACTTTATAATAAATATATGTACTTCAAACTGTCTTTTTTTCAGATGATAGCTCTTCTCTTTCTCTACAAAATGACATAATTTGATCAATACCTTCATATGAGTTTGATATAGATATTCTTGATTTACTAAGGAGGGGTCGAAACTTTTGGACCACCCTTTATGAGTGATGTTCGGTTTTTTCTAAGTGTGAACTGCTATAACCATATTCAATATAATAAACCTCTCAAATAAGTCTAAGTCAATTCGATCACCGAAGGAAAAAAGTGTAAAGTTAAATTTGATAATTAATATAAGTGACAATGATTAAATGAAATAGTCTGTACATTGAAATACAATAGTAGGAATGATTTACTTTTATTGAAGACATTTCAACCAAAGATTTTTTATTCGAAGATGAATGTTTCTTTTATTTTTGTATTTTTTCAATGATTTTTTAAATTGTTCGAGTAAATCTGAACAATCCAGATTATTTTCGTTCTCCCACTAAATCAAAACAAAACAAAAAAATTCGCATTTATTTCACTTAAAGGGTCACATCCCAATAATGATATTGTTTCATAATATTCAAAATGGCTGTTTTGTTGTCAAATTTTAGCTTACTCATATCACTCTCATCAACAATTTTTTTTTTCACAATTCTTATTCTATTCATAACGCTACCCTAGTGAAACATCTTGTAAGCAAGATCTTGAAATCTTGGGAGCGATAAGCAAGATCTTGAAAACATTTGGAAAAGATCATATGTATGTGAATATCTTGGTTATATCGGATAAATCTGCACTAAGGATCTTGTCAAGATCATAGAAGAGACATCATTTACTATTGTCTTCTCACAAGATCTTGAGTAAAAGAACGATATCATTAGTATTTAT